TGGTTATTCCTTCTGTTATCCTCCTCCATTACTTCTTCTAAGAAAATGGTACACTGTTGTGTACTTTCCTTCCCATGATCAGTTTTCGGTAAAGAACTAACCTTCCACTTAAAGTCAGCAATATGATGCCCTATTACCTTAAGCTCACGTTGCCACTCCTTTTGGGGCAGAGTGTATAAAGACGAAAGCAGGGGCCAAAATCTTTTTGTTACTTCTCAACAGAGTACAGTGATCTGAGGTAGTATTTTTTAAACCTATATGAGACTAACTGAATAGTAAGTACTTAACAAAAGTTTGTTGAGTCATCCACATAATATTAGCTTGTGTTTTATATGATCTAAGGCTCCTCTCACTATAATATAGTTAATAATTCAAATAATTAAAAAAAACAAAACAAACTCACTGCCATCGAGTCGGATTCGACTCATAGAAACCCCCCCTTGGGCTTCCCAGGCGGTAGATTGCCCAACCAACCTTCCTTCTGAGGAGTGGCTGGTAGGTTTGAACCACCAGGCTTCTGGTTAGCAGTCAAATGGCTTCGGCACTACGCCAAGGCTAAACACAGTGCATGGGTGCGTAGTAAATGGCTTCCTTTTCTAGAATTAGGAATCTTAGAACTTTGTTCAAATTCCAGTTTTCATGTGCTTTTGTGTCCCTCACATTTAAATATTAAGATACTTGATTGAATATGAAGCTGAACAGAGGCATGCACGCTTAAGTCTTACCAGCAGAGGTCAGGAGAGGACAAAAAGTACAAGAAGGACTGTATCTTGCTCAAGTCTGTAAGTCATACACTTTAAGATTTCAAACCAAATAAAATTAAGATACAGTTTTTAAAGGTATAAAAAGGCCCAACATCCCATATACCATGAAAAATATTACACTACATAAAAGAATAGCTACATCTATGAAAATTTATAATTTTATGTATCCTTTCCTCCTTATTAAAAACATCAGTAAACTCAAAGAAACAATATAATCCATTGTTAATATTGTTCTCTACAGAGTAAATGGAGCTCTGGTAGCGTAGTGCCTAAGGTACTTGACTGCTAACCAGAAGGCTGGCGGTTCAAATCCACCAGCCACTCCTTGGAAAGAAGGTTAGGCAATCTATTTCCGTAGTGATACTGCCTCAGAAACCCCAGGAAGGGTCGCTATGAGTCCAGTCCGACTCGACAGCACATAACAACAACAACAACACACAGTAAATAAAATAAGAGTGTCTGTTTATTTGTTTAGGTGCCTGTTTGAGGGAATCCAAAGTACTCTGCAAACACTAACATTAATCCTTTTACGGTGGGGGTTGTCGCTATGAGTCGGATCCAACTTGACGGGCAGTGAGGTTTTTTTTTTTTTTTGGTTACATACTATTTTAAGCAGAATTCTGTTTCAGAAATTGCTTTATGTAAAAGAATACATTTGGCAAAACTGAAACTAAAGCCGTTATTTCTTAACTATGCATCAGTGTATGAGTCTTCCCATGATGGTAGTAAATATGAGCTTCAAGTGAATGCTTTGTAAGATTAATAAATACTTGTACACTTCGAAAAGGTTATCATTTATATTCAACTAAGAAATACATGTAGAATATTTTCCTTGCAAATGAAATGGCAGAGCTTGACCACTAAGACTAGGCAGCTGCTGTAGAATACAAGAACCTCACTCAAACCAGAACTGGGGGAAATCCTAATACAATTAAAAGTGTCTAGGCTTACACTGCTTTGCATGTGCCTAAATTTGCATTTTACTTAAAGAAGCCAAAACTATAAATGTCATGCAGTATGAGTATAGTTTATCTATGAAAGGTATTATGAAAGCCAATCAGCAGCCTCAGAACCCTATCCCTCCTCCAAAAAAGGACTGACAAATAAATACACAGTTGTGTTAAATAAAACACTAAGGTATGCATTGATCCTTTTCTTTTTAAGGAATTCCCCATTATATTCAACTTTAGCATGTTGTTGTTATGTGCCGTCGAGTCGGACTGACTCATAACGACCCCTCCTTGGGTTTCCGAGGCAGTATCACTACGGAAGTAGATTGCCCCATCTTCCTTTCGAGGAGTGGCTGGTGGATTTGAACTGCCAGCCTTCTGGTTAGCAGTCAAGTGCCTTAGGCACTATGCTACCAGAGCTCCCAACTTTTGCATAGACAACCAATTAATTCCAAGTCAAATTTCACTGGGTAAGAGGTCTTTTACTGTACAGACAAATCTCTTTAAGTAAATAAAATCCTCCCTAAAGCATGCATCCTCCACTAGATTTTCTTGTACTTCTTTTCTTCATTGTGTCATTTCTTGAATCATCTATGTCACTGGTTCACAAACTTTTGAACTTTCTGGCCTAGGAATTCACCAAAGGAAGGGGACATTAAAGAGAGAAAAAAACACTGAATTGTCAGATTATTTTGACAAACATGGATATCTAATTCTTCCATCCCTAAGTGCTCAAATAAAGGAGACGCTGTAACACTTGAAAGGATAATCCGTACCAGTTCTTTAAATTCAATATATTTGATGATATAAAGAAGTCATTACATTCAGTCATTCACTCAGCCAACAATTACTGAGCATATATTACATGGTAAACAATGGTCAAGGTTCTAGGGAGACAGCTGTGAACAAAGTGGATAAAAATCCACCCTTACAGAGATTACATTCCAGTGAGAGAAACAGATGAAATAAATAAGTCAAATATATAGCATGTGTTTTGGTTACCTAGTGCCACTCTGACAAGAATATGCCGCAAATGGGATGGTCTTAACAGGAGTTTATTCTTACAATTTGGAGGCTTTAAGTCCAAGTTCAAAGTGCCAGGCTCTAGGGGCTGGGTAAAAGCCCCTCAACCTTGGGGTCCAGCTCTGCCTCCTGCTCCCGGCCCACTGGAGCTAGAGGCATTTCTTCACTCAGACAGCTGCTGGCTGCTGAGGCTGAGAAGCCCCAAGGTTGACAAGTAAAAAGGCACAGTCCTGATGTTACCAAACTACACGGCAGGCCATTAACTTAAGTCCATTGTAAGTCCCAAGATCAGCAGAGCATGGCAGACTGCTGAGCAACGACATGGCTACATGCAGGGTCCAAACGTGCCATAGGCTAGAGACCATACCCAAAGGCTTCTCCTTATGTACAGGAAGAAGATCACATCCCAAAGACAGCTACTCAGCTGCTTGTGGTAGATCCCACCATGGAGCCGACTGCCAATCTCATCATGGCGAATTAACTACCACTAGCTGCCCAGCCACTCAGCCAGACCCAGCCAAGTCAACACACAAACATAACTACCACAGCATGTTAAAGAGTGCTAAGTGTGAAAGAGAAAATAAAGGAGGATAGCTTGTAGTGGGGAAGGGGAACAGTTAAAAAATTTAAATACAATGGTGAGGGAGGGTCTTACTTTGAAGGTGAGTAAATACTGAAGGAAATGAGGGACTATGTTGTTTTCAGGACAGAAGAGCATCCCAGAAGAGGAAGCAACCAGTGCAAAAGGCCTAAAAGAGAGACTATGGCCAGCAAAAGAGGCCAATGAGTGAGCAAGGGATGGTAGGAGGAGAGATCAGAGAGGTAACAGAAACCAGAACGTTTAGGGACTTGTGGATCATTCTGAGAACATTCCCTTTTACTCTGGATAAGATGGGGAGCCACTACAAAGTTGTGATCAGAGTGATATGATCTGACTTATGTTTTAATGTGATTATTCTGGCTGTTTTATGAGAACAGACCAATTATGAGGAAGAAGAACAGCTTTAGAAGCAAGCAGGTGGGAGTAGAAGAGAGATTACTGTGGACCCATTACAGTGGACCAGGATGGCATAAACAGAGATGGCGGTTAGTTATGAGATCTTAAATACAATTGAAGACAAAGCTCATAGGATTTGCTGACAGATGAGATGTGGAGTATTGAGGAAAGAAAGTCAAAGATAACACAGAAGTTTTTGGACTGAACAACTGGAAGGGCAGAGTTGGGGGAGTCTATAAATGGAACAGATTTGAAGAGAGTGATAGAAGCTCCAGTTTGGACATTTATCAGCCACATAAGTATATATACAAGTCAGACATTTAAGTATAGACACTGAATGTACACACAGGGCTATACAATGCTGGGATTCAAGGTGCCAAATCATCAACACACAGTTGGTATTTAGAGTTACTGGACAATAAACTTCACAAAGGCAGAAACTAGGTCTTATTTATTCCAGTATTCTAGGAAGTACCTAGTCCAGTTCTTGATACAAAGTTGCTACTCAATAACATAGCTATTAAAAGAAATTTCTTTCTAAACACCTCCCCCTACACAAACATGCACAAACTCCAACAATAATCCCAATAGAAGACTTACTTTCATTCCATAATGCATTATTTGATATATAAAAAAACGGCGAGTGGATGTGGATGAGAGATTCTAACCAACTTCTACATTTACTCCCTAGTTCTCATGCCCAATCGGGTGTGGAACCAGCTCCCTAGTGAAATATAATAAGGAGAGGGGAAATACATTTTTTTTTAAAGTTGATTTTGCTAATGTTGTTTGTAGAAAGTGTATTAAAATCTCATGGAACAGCTGTCTCCCAAAAGCTATGAGTCTAGAATAGTGCTTTATTAGTCAGGAAAGTGCATGAGAATCACTTGTGAGGTTTTTTTAAAAAATGGACATGCCTGGGCCCCTGCTGCAGCGTTTCCAATTTAACACACTGCTGTGGGTTCTTAACTACTGTGCTTTAAAAAGGTTCTATGTTGTGAAGACTCCCAGATTGAGAACTACCCATCTGGAATACAAATTCTTCTCTGTTAACTGCTATGTTGATTTATTTTCAAATATCTACCAGAGGTTTCACAAAATCTCCTCAGATTATTTCACCATAGATTTAATTACTTTCTTATATTGATATAATGAAGGTCCAATTCTAACAATGGCTGTGTCATTAACACATAATATGGTACTCAAAATCACAAAGGTAGTAATTCTTATTCTTATTCTTCTAATAACTATAAACCAATTACTTACCCGTTCCACAGCTGCATTATGGTATGGGAGCTCTTCCTCACTGCAGACGAAAAACAGTTCATGTGAGATAGTTGAAATCTGAGATAGTTAAGTTGAAATCACAGTGAACTTGTTTTTACAATTAAATGATAAACAACCATTTATCATCACATATTTATACAAGTTTCCATTTCACTGAGTTCAGTATAGAACAATTAGCTATTCTGTAACCAAAATGCTTCCACTCTTCAAATCTCTGCACCTGTATGTTCAATATAGAAACCACTAGTCACAGATGGCTATTTAATTATAATTTTGAATGTAAATTAAAATGAAATAAAACTTAAAATTCAGTTCTTTAGTCTCACTAGCCATATTTTAAGTATACAATAGCCAGGTTGCTGCTGTATGGAACAGTGCAGATATAGAACATTTCCATCATTGCAGAAAGTATTCCTGGACAGCAACTGATCTCAACCAGGAGTTTAGGAGTCCATAAACTTTTCCTGTACATGGTCAGACAGTAAATATTTTAGGCTTTGTGAGCTACATACTGTCTGTCACAACTACTCAACTCTGCTATTGGAAGCCACAGATGACATGTAAATTGAGCATGAATACTCTATACCCAAAAAATAGGCAGCTGGTTGTATTTGCCCTATGGGCCATAATTGGTCAACTTTGAGCTCATCACGTCTGCTCTTATTCTCAAACAATGATCTATAATAAACGACTGCTTAAAAATTTAGCATAAGGAGATAAAATGATCTCCCACAGATTTATGAATTAAAAAGAAAACTTGACCTTTTATTCTGTACAATGATAAATTCATTGTCAAAATTTCAGTGGGGATGGTTTCTTTAAAATAAAGAATATAAGATCAAATTCCTTTTTCTGGTACAGTATATAGTGCCTAAGGCACCTGACTGCTAACCAGAAGGCTGGTGGTTCAAACCTACCAGCCACTGCTCAGAAGGAAGGTTGGACAATCTACTTCCGTAGTGATACTGTCTCAGAAACTCAAGGAGGGATTGCTATGAGTTGGGTCTGACTCGACGGCACATAACAACAACATATTTTGTGATATTATCTCAGACATAAAACATTCAGAGACTCTTGTACTGTCAGTAATATAGTAACAATGGGCTATCAACAAAGTTGTGTGTTTTGAGTTGCTATCGAAGAAGTATTAATATTTTGGCAAAAATATGTACTTATTTTACTTTAGCTTATTTTACGACCAAATAATAGCACTTTTAAAATACAATGAATTAGTATTCAAGAGTGCAGCATTTTTAAAGGTACTCTTGTTACTCTGTAGACTTAGTAGGTGAACCACTGAGCTAATAGCAATGGAGCTGACAAAAGAGTGTAACGGTCAAGAGAGATCCTAGACAGATAGTCCAAACACAGATATGAAGACTAACATTTTCACTTAGTCACAGAAAGTGATGCCTAATACAGACATGTTCAGCACTATCCAAACCAGTGGATTCAAATTAAAATAGGCTACATCTTCAGACAGCTCAGGAGTATATGAAGAAAAGAGATGAAGGTTGAGAAACTAATTCTCAAGAAAAAAGACACTTGAGGATTAAATATAGAAGTCTTCAGACCACAAAGATGGATGATGGTACAAGAAGAAGGCTGTTTTCCCACATGAATTTTCTTGCATTATTTCTTCATAACCAAGACCTTTTATATAGAATCTGCAGTGTGCATAACACCAATCTCCAGAGAATTTTTCCTCCTCAAAATTCTGCATTGGCATACATTAATTTTCATAACCTTACAAGGAAAAAGGCTGGAGAATGCCTCCTTCATCAACAGCTCCTTGCAATGTTCAAAATACACATGCAAAGCACCGCACCAGTCTCAGACACAGTGTCTGGCCCATCTCAGAAGCTCAATAAATATTACTGGATGAATGTATGAATAGAAGAATGGATGCATGCCTGCAAGCATGTATGCATCTTTACCTTGCCATCTAAATATCCTTCAAGTAGAAGAAAGGAAACAGCAAAACTTGGGTAAGTGCAGAGTATTCTTTCAGGTCAGCAATCTACAGTCCATTGGCCAAATCTGGCTCACTGGCTGTTTTTGTACATAAAGTTTTACTGGAACACAGCCACACACATTTATTTATGTATTGTCTATGACTATTTTCATGTTTGCTACAGTAGCAAAGTGAAGAGCTTTGACACAAAGTGAAATATTTAACCTCTGGCTTTTTACAGAAAGTTTTGCTAAACAGGGCTTTGGAGACCAAGAGTTTGTTCTTCAAGGGAAAAGGTACATAATGGCTGTTTAAAGAAGAAAACAAGCTGTCAGCAAGTAGCTACATTTTATGAAAACACATAAGCAAAAACAAAACACCACCACCAACAAAAAAAAATCTGTAAGTTATCCTGGAAACAGAGAGTCCTTAACTGGATATATTTTTGCATCTGTTATTAAACTTTAAGGAGCTCTGATAGTATAGTGCTTAAGGCACTTGACTGCTAACCAGAAGGCTGGCGGTTCAAACCCACCAGCCACTCCTTGGCAGGAAGATGGGGCTATTTACTTCTGTAGTGATACTGCCTTGGAAACCCAAGGTGGTTGCTATGAGTCGGATCCGACTCCACGGCACATAACAACAACAACAACATTAAACTTTAAGGAGCTCTGGTGGTGTAGTGCTTAAAGCATATGGCTGCAAAAGGTCAGTGGTTTCCACTCACTAGCTACTCTGCAGAAAAAAAGATGAGGTGGTCCACTTCTGTAAAGACTAACAGCCTTGAAAACCCAATGTGGGGTAGCTATGAGTTGGAATGAACTTGATGGCAGTTAGTTTGGGTTTTTTTTGGTTTGACTAAACTTTAAGTGTCACTAATTAGTGTATGTTGTTGTTGTTGTTATGTGCCCTCGAGTCGGCCCCGACTCATAGCGACCCCTCCTTGGGTTTCCAAGGCAGTATCACTACGGAAGTAGGATTGCCCAACCTTCCTTCCGAGGAGTGGCTGGTGGGTTTGAACTGCCAGCCGTCTGGTTAGCAGGCAAGTGTCTTAGGTGTCCATAATTTCTCAATGGCTCAGGTGAAATATTTCTGTAACTGCTAAGATAAACTCATTGGAAACTTAAAACTTTTAAGATCAATAAGTTTAATAGGTTGACTAAATTGAGGTTTGTTTTTATAATAAATTTTATATAAGTTAAGATTTACTCTAGACAAAATTTATAGGATGGGTAGAAAGTTCTCAGCCCTTCAATCTTAATAGGTATTCTTTAAAAACAAAAGCATATCTGTTTCAGCTTTCATATATTTACATAGTCATAGTGAACTACAGACAACTGCTAATTTTACAAATATACATATTTTGATAAATAACTGAAAATCCAAATTGTGCTATTAATTTTATCTTCTCTATTTTTGGTATAATTTCCTTTTGTCTATTAATAACTTATGACCTATAAGCATTATTTATCTTTATCCAAGTACTAACAATCATTTGTTGAGCAGACTAGCAATGAAGACTATTTTTTATAGGCATGTTTAGATTTTGAACGGCAAAAATAAAAGTTCTCTAACTTCTTAAATAAGATCTATTTCTCCATTTTCCAAATGTAACTCCATTGGAAGCAAACAGACTGAGGACAACTTCCCATTTCTGAGTACTAGACAAAGACAATGCTGTTCCGTCAGCAAACCAACACTGTTTGCCAATATCTTTAATATTTACTGTGGTCTGTTACAAAAATCAAGTTAAACTGTAAATTACTATCACACCCTTCACATATCAGAACAACTAATTTCAGTTATTAAAAATCATAGATAGATACAAGGTCAGCAAGCTTCACAGCAGGCTACAAAGTTTGGGGTTCCCCTGCCCATTTTATTGATATTGACACTTAAAATCCAATTTTACCGCAGAACCAATCAACAATTATAAAGAGTGAAAACAGCAAAAAGCTATGCTCTTTTGATTGAAGTATCATAGGAACCAGTAACTAAATGCCTGGGTAAAGTGACTATTCAACAGCACAAAAACTCCAGTCTACAGTGACTAGTGATGAAAGCCACCATTAAAACCTCTGGAGAAAAGTGTTTTACTTAAATTAGACATTGTGATAAAAACCAATGCTTCATTATTTTCATTTGTGCTGCCTGCTTTAGGAATAGATTCTGGAGCAAATAAAATTTTTAAAATCAGTGTAACAATATGACAACTGGCACCAACCTACTTTATTCTCAAAAAAGCAGCAATCATTTCAGATAGTATCCTTCTCTTTAGGTACTTTTATCTCCTTTGTTTTTCTTCCCAGGCCTTTAAAATAATTTATTCTGAAATCTTATTAATTATACAGAGCAACAGTAACAGGCAGCATAATGCAGTGGTTAAGAACACAGGCTCTGCAGTCAGACTGCTCAGGCCCATATCCACGGTCTGACCCTTACTGATAGTACAACGTCAGCAAGTTACTTGACCTCTCTGCTTCTATTTCATCATCTAAAAATCAGGGGGAGTAGGGGAGAGAAGAGGACCTACCCCAGCAAGATTTGAGAGGAATGAATGAGGTAATCTATGTAAAGTGTTAGAAACAATGCCTGGTACACAGTAAGTGGTCAATAAATATTAGTTGGCATTATCGAAGTTATTATTTTTCTCACCAAGGCCAAATGGATTTCAGCACAAAGGGTAGAAAACAAACATGAAATAATTGAGTGCAATGTTTTAAACTGTCAAATACAGACTAGACTCTTGAGCCAGAACTTCTTGTTACTAAGGTCCAGTTCATGTTGCTTCAAGCAATGAGAAAAGAGAATTTAGGTAATTATTAGAGCCTTTGTAATACAAAGGGAGTTCTGGTGATGCAGTGGTTAAAGCACTCAGCTGCAAAATGAAAGATCAGGGGTTTGAACCTACTAGGCACTCTATGGAACAAAGATAAGGCAGTCTGTTTCCCTAAAGATTTATAGCCCTGGAAACCCTCTTGGGCAGAGTTCTACTCTGTCCAATGGGGTTGCTATAAGTCAGAATCTATTCGATGGCAGTGGATTTTGTTTTGTTTTGTTTCTCTTGGATTGGAATACAAAAGGTTTTCATATGTATTTTGTACTATATTGGATCATTTTATGATAAACTATTACCTATTACAATGGCTCACTACCACTGGATACACGTGGGAAGTTCTATCCTGCCTTTTGAATCAAAATCTAAGATAGGACCCGGAAATTATTTAAAACAACAACTTCCTAGCTTATTATGTGAAGGTAATTTTGGAAGCCACTGACCTTGACAGTTCCAAATGCTCAAACTGTCCTTTAAAAAACTTCACTCACATACTCAGATATGGATATTAACCCATACAAATATGCAAATTTGAAAGTGGCCAAGTTTTATTTACTTAAAAAAAAAAAAAAAAGGAAGAGGGGGAATTTTAAAACAGCACTGTTAAGAAAAACTTTTATTGTGATTTGGGTGAAAGTATAGAGAGTAAATTGGTTTTCTATTCAACAGTTCATATACATTTTGTTTTGTGACACTGATTGCAATCCCCACCATGTAATAGCACTCTTCCCACTTCCTCCCTGTGTTTGCTATTTCCCTCCATCCTTCTTCCCTATCCCTTCCTGCCTTCTGAGCTTTATCCCTGGGCAAATGCTGCCCTTTTAATCTGGTATGGTTGATTGTTCTAAGGAGTGCATGCCTCCCTAGTGTTACTGTTCACTGTGTAGGCTTGTCTATCATTGGGCTAAAAGTTGAGCCACGAGGCTAAGTTCAGTTCCAGATCTGAAAGGTGTCTTAAGGGCCACAGACATGGGGGTTACACCAGTCTCTATCAGACAAGTAAGCTGATCTTTTATTATTTTGAGTTTTGCTCCACATTTTTCACCCACTCTACCCAGGACTTCCTATTACTTCCTATTGTGATCCCTTTCAGAGCTGTCAGCAGCAGTAGATGGGCACCATCTAGTTCTTCTGGTCTCGGGATCACAGAAGCTGGGGTTCACATGGTCCATTAGTAAAACAGTACTTCAATCATAAAGACCATCTTTATGATTTATGACTATCTATTAGTCTACTAAAGAGCAAACTCTCTTGGTTATATTTACTCAAGAGAACTTTTCAGATATGCTAATAACATGAGGTATAAAACCTTATATTTATCTAGAAATTTATATAATATTCTTATATTTTATTTCTTCAAAAGCCTCAAATATACAATAATGTATGTGGAGCATTGATTGATTCCTGCTCTACAAATGAGGCATGAAATAGTTAACTGATTAGAGACCAGAAAAGCCACAACAAGAGCACAAATTCTCTGACTCCCAGAACTGTTTGTTTGTTTTCTTGTTTTATCCACAGAAAAACAGGATACAACAAAATAGTTCCTACATGCAAAAAGCTGAACAGGAGTAAAACACAAAGTGCTGTAAGTCACTGCTATGAACTACATAAGAGATTGTGTTTTCCCTCAAAATGTAATCATATATTATATGATTTGTAATAAACAAAACTGAAAAAGAATACACGTGAATGAGACAAGTTACTTACTAAATTGGGAACCCAATTAAACACTGCCAGAACCAGACAGATGGACATATGATTAGAAAGAACCTCTAAGGGTCTGATGTCACAGTAGTTAAAGCACTTGACTTCTAACCAAAAGGTAGGCAGTTCAAACTAACCAGCTGCTCCACGGAAGAAAGATGAGACAGTCTACTTCTGTAAAGATTTCCAGCCTTAGAAACTCTCTAGGGAAGTTCTACTCGTTCCTGAAGGGTCATTATGAGTTGGAATCAACTCAATGGCAGTGGGTTTAGACCTCTATCAACTTTTTATATAACATACTTGGGATAAATAGAATTAATTTTGAGAAGCAATAACATGAATATATTTACAAGCATAAATAAGAAAGTATTTCTTTTCATTGTTCATTTTAGGCTGCAAAACACTATTGTTCTAATTGCTAATTATTTAAAAAACACATTTGTATAAAATGTGTTATAATTATTTTTAAAGTACAAATTGCTATTCATTCACATTTAATTTTGCTAGATTATTAACATAACTCATTTAGTACACTAATGTTCTTACCAAAATACTGAAAACTGCATTCTTAATGATAGCTCAATTTCATTCACAAACATTAAAAATGCCAGGAATTTTATGACAAATTTCATAACAACACCACCAAAAAAAAAAAAGACACATTGTTGGACCATTTCTAAAATCTTATTCATAAGAATTCTACTGAAAATAAGAAAAAACAGTAAGTGACCATAAAAACATTATAATCTAAAAGTTGGCTTTCAATGTATGCAACTTACTGTAAAAAGCCAAATCTATCTGTGACTTTGTAAACAAGGTAATCAGCATCTTCCCAAGGTTCAATCTCTGCACCTTCTCGTCCCTAAAACAGAGGACAGAAAAAGGTGTTACTAGGAGTTTATAAAACCAAATGTATTATTAAAATAAAAAGGCCAAAGAACAAGAGCTATTTTATATTTTATTAACAATAAGATCTGGAGGAAAAGGTATTATCAACCTTATTAACATTTATTTTTCTTTAAGCCAAACTAATTTTGGCAGTATCACTGTTTTCTTAGTATGAACTTTGATAGATATAAGATGTTAACAATAACTGACATGTGGCTAAGTCTTGATTAGATGAAAGTTCCAGTAAGAAGCTATGTTGCGGTGAATTACTTAATATACATTGTCTAGCCATAGTCTTTTTGACTCCCATAAAATGATTGAGTGAGACTATGCAAAAAGATGTTTGTGGCCCACTAAGAAGAATGGACAGCCTGCAAGAATGAGCATGGAATCCCTGTGGGAGCGGGACCATGCATATAAGGTCTATGGAACCATAACAAGGGAATTAGTCAGTTTTGCCTTCCTGCTGGACTTCAAAAAAGAGCCAATCCCAGAGTGAGGGAAGGATCTCACTACCACCAAGGAAAAAGAGCCAGGAGTGGAGCATGTCCTTTGGACCTGGGGTCCCCTGTACTGAGAAGTTGCTAGAACTAGAGAGAGACAGAGAGAGAGAACAAGAGAGAGAACTGTAACACCACAGATGGCCAGAAATGGCAAGAAGTAGTGGTGGAGAAGCTGTAGCAGCGGACCCAGGAGACTACACACGAAGGCTTGGTGGGCTTCCCAGCCCACGGAGCAAGGAGACTACTATGGGTGGGCTGACCCACAGAGCAAGAAAGCTGAGCACCTTTGGACAAGAGGCTTGATGGTGAAATGGTGTACCTCTGGGTACTTGGGGGAGCTCTAGTGGCATAGTGCCTAAGGTATTTTACTGCTAACCAGAAGGTTGGCGGTTCAAGCCTATCAGCCACTCCTCAGAAGGCAGATTGGACAATCTACTTCCATGGACATATCACCTCAGAAACCCAAGGAGGGGTTGCCATGAGTCAAAATCAACTCAATGGCAGTGAGTTCGCTATTTTTGGTGCTGGCACCTGGCAGAGCTAATCTGACTAATCTATGGAGGGAGAGAGCTGAGTACTTCCAGGCCAAGGATTCCTGGTGGAGTTGGTGCCTCTGGGCACTTACTGGCAGAGTTAAAGAAGCTGTTCTGACCAAAGAACTACATTCTGAATCATTTCTGATTCTGAATTGGAGCTTGTTACTTCCCTAATAAACCCCATAATCTTGAGTACTGTCTGTGAGTTCTGTGTGGTCATTGCAATGAATCATCAAATCCAGCAGAGAGTAAAGAGTGATGTGGGAAGGACAGTTGCATTGAGAACTGGTAAAAAGGTTGGAGAGTGGAGGCATTTCTGACCTCCACCTCATAGAAATCAGTCTAGGGCTGTTGATTTTGATTCTCCTCTCCCCTTAAGAAGGTAGAGAAGGTCTGATGCCCCACTCCACCATTTCTACAAAAGCAAAGTGGGAGCAACAGAACAATGGGAAGGAAAGATAGCAAAGCTATTAAAAATAACATACAGTTTTAATAAATAAAATCCCAGAAATATTTAAAGAATTCACCTATAAATCATTAATTATAACGTTTGAATGCAAACAAAGCATCTCAAGTATGAACCCCCAAACTTATTTTAGAATGAACATGTCGTAGAAAAAATATCTTTCTGTCCTTTTCATCCAAACTTCTCAGAGGAGTAGGCTATACACCTTGTCTCTCTACTTCTTTACTTCACAGTTACATCAGCACTAAAATTATATTCTTGCCAAAGTCAAAAATGACCTCCCAATTGTCAAATCCTGAGGATGCTAGTCCTTCACTCCCTCCAGTTGCCACTGAATTGATTCCAACTCATGGCAACCCCATATGTGCCAGAGTAGAACTGTACTCCATAGGGTTTTCAGTGGCTAATTTTTCAGAAGTAGATAAGCAAGCCTTTCTTCTGAGTCACCTATGGGTAAACTTGATCCTCTAACCTTTTGGTTAGCATTAACCATTCGCACTACCCAGGGACTCTGGACAAGATTCAGTCCTTATCTAATGGACCTTGTAGGTACACTTACAACTATTGTTGTTGTTGTTGTTGTTATTTGCTGTCAAGTCAGCCCCGACTCATAGCGAGCCCTCCTTGGGTTTCCGAGGCAGTATCACTACGGAAGTAGGATTGCCCAACCTTTCTTCTGAGGAGTGGCTGGTGGGTTTGAACTGCCAGCCTTCTGGTTAGCAGTCAAGTGCCTTAGGCACTATGCTACCAGAGCTCCCACGACTATTATTCACTCCTTATCCCCTGATGTTCATGACACCCTCCTGTTTAGGTTCTCCTCCTACTTTTCCAACCATTCTTTTGAAGGCTTTCTCATGGACCCCTTTTAACTGTGGGTGGGCCTGGTGTTTTGCCCTCAGTTTTTCTCTTTCTAGGTAATCATTTACTCTTGAAGCTTGTAACTAACACTAACTTGTACAGGAATTAGTTATGAACGCAACGGTCTATAACAATTATTCAAATTTCAGGCTCAAATAGCCAACTGTCTTGTAGACACCTCCATCTGAGTACATTTTATAATTAACTGCTCATATGTTCTCCAAGTAGGCTCTGAGCATCTTGTGGGCAAAAATTGCTGTAATTTATTTCTATATTGTGAATTCCCAATTCCGAGCATGATGCCTAGAGCCTAGTCACTAAGTGTTAATTGCATGAAAAAAAGATGCATGCAAGCATAAATGAATCATAGTTCTATTGGTTTTAAATTAGCTAAGCAGTTAAAACCAGTTAATTAGGTTTTTCATTACCCTAAAACCTAATCACAATAATGGGAAATTGTGTCTGATGTTCCATCCAACCAACTTAAAAACTCTTGGAATATAATTTAAGTTACTAAGCCTGTACACCTCTCTGGAAGCAGGACACAGTCCAGATGGCTTCCTATAATTTCATGCTCATATTATTCATAAAAATAATAATAAAATATCAAATACAAAATTACATGCAAGTAAGGAGAAGGACATCGCCATAGGTAAAGTAGACAGTCAGCAAAAAAAGAGGAAGACCCTCAATGAGACAGATTGAAACAGTGGCTGCAACAACAGGCTCAAATAGCAATGACTGTGAGGACTGCAGGGCCGGGCAGTGTTTCATTCTGTTCTATATAGTATCGCTATGAGCCAAAATAGACTTTACAGCACCTAACAACAATAGAAATATATAACATACCATTTGTAAATTACTGCTAATACTCACTATAGACCTCAGGAGGTAAGGTAATAAGGTAAGAAATAAGGAGACATGTAAAATGTCAGCAATTATGATTTTCTAGGGTATCAAAATAGGATTTCATAACTAACATAAGGATAAAATGCTAATTGAAATTAAACATAAATGTGTAAATTCAAATTTTCAGACCCATGTTAAATTTATTACAGCATATATAAATAGTATATAAGGTGGATATTTAATTCTGTATACTTATGTATTCAAATACTGAGGATAGTAGTGCCTAGGGTACTTGACTGCTAACCAGAAGGCTGGCAGTTCAAACCCACCAGCAACTCCTTGGAAGGAAGGTTGGGCAATCTACTTCCGTAGTGATATGGCCTCGGAAGCCCAAGGAGGGGCCGCTGTGAGTCAGATCCGACTCAATGGCAGTATGTTTGGTTTGGTTTAGTATGAGTCAGGGAGCTCTGGTGGCATAGTGCCTAAGGCATCTGGATATAAGAGTACAGTAAACAAAAGAAACTCTGGCCCTCACAGAGTTTACTTTCTAAGAGGGAGAACAAATAATGAAGAAAATAAGTAAAATATATAGTATTTTGGATGCTGATAGTATCATGGTGAAAAATAAAGTAGGGGAAAAGGATATGGGTAGGAGGGCAGTGATGGTGGTATTAACCAGATGGTCAGAGAAGATGTCACTAAGAAGGTAGTATGTGGGCAAAGATCTAAAAGAGGTAAGGCAATGAGACATGAAGATACCCAGGATATAAATGTTCTAAGCAGAAGAAACGGTGACACTGAGCCCTGAGGCAGAAATGAATTGCAGTGTTTGAAGGAGAAATATTTGGGAGGGAAGTCAAAAGAAAAAAAAATGAACTCAGTGTTTACATGCAGTAAACAAACTGCTTCTGCAATTTAAGCTCTCTAAAAAGCAATTCCATTTCTATTTATGTGTTTTTTCCAAAGAAAAACTTACTTAATACTTACTCTGTCATATTTAGCAACTATCTCAGCTCGTTCCTGGGCAAGTTTGAGTGCTACATCCTGGTCTGAATCTGTGGAGAGATCAAATGTAGATGTACTGTTAGTCAGAGAATTATATCATTAATTAATTATAATACTAGGATAAGACATATACAAATAAAACAATAAATATAGTCTAAAATGACAACCCTGTAAAAATCAAATAAAAAACATAAAAGGGTAACTTTAATATTGTTGTTGTTATGTGCCGTCGAGTCGGCCCCGACTCATAGCGACCCCTCCTTGGGTTTCCGAGACAGTATCACTACGGAAGTAGGATTGCCCAACCTTCCTTCTGAGGAGTGGCTGGTGGGTTTGAACCGCCAGCCGTCTGGT